CCCCTTGGTGCAGTTAGGACACGTGGGGCGGCCTCAGAAATGAGGCTTCTGCTGTGGTGCAGAGTGCGCCTTGTATGTCTCAGCCCCGGTCCTAATTCTGGCATCTTCATTGTCAGTGTCAGGCTCGGGGACTTGCCTTTTGCACGTGTTTGATTGTGGAGGGCTTTCGTTTTTATCATGCCTTTGCAGACTTTCAGCACTGCCCAACAGCTGACAGCAGTAGGGACCCTCGTGGAGGTGAGGGGAAGGGCAGGGTCTGTCTGGTCCCTGCTTCTGTCATTCTGGCCTGAGCCATTTTCCTGGGTGACATGCCCTTCCAGGCCCGAGGGAGCCTCTGAACTGTGTGTGTGAGAAAAGCGTTTGTGAAGGGCTGTAACAGGTGAGGTCGGGCACGGAGCCCACTGTTCCCCGCCCGCCTTGCTGAAGCGCGTCCCCCAGAAATGATGTGTTGCAGGTGGGGTTCCCAGGCGAGTCCAGAAATGCCTGCTTAGTGTGTAGTGCAGCTCCAGCTGACCCACATTTTCATTATGGATGCAATAAAAAGGGTTGGCTGAGAAGGAGCAGAAAGACTAACTGGGTGAGGACACTTGAGGTTGTCTTGAACTCTAGTGCTTGAGGGAAGGGAGGGCTCATTCAGTCTTTAAGGACTGATGGTCATGCTTGGTGCTGAGATGGGGGACGAGGTACCCTGAGGAAGCCTTGGGCTGCCTGCTACCTGCACCACTTCCTGCCCTCACGGGGCACCCTGGCCTCCCAAACAGGCGGGTGTCAGGGTCTTGTGCACGTGAGCACGCGAGGCTCGGTCACTGTGGCCTTTCAGACTACTCCTGGAGGGTTTTATGCTGCGCAGTATAATTTTAAAACCTGAGCTTTCACAATAATGAAAAATAGAAACTAGCCTAAGTCTCTACCAATAAGGAAATTGTAAATACATTTTGAATGAAATGTTTAATGACTTGGAAATGCTAATGATATAAGAAATAAAGAAGAGAGTACAAAACGGAACAACAAAATGACCCCGCTTTCTTTATAGTTATCATATGCATGCCCGTAGGACAGAGTGGAAAGAAAGACCTATACAGTCCTATTACCTGAAGGAGGCGGGGTTCCAGGAGATTTCTATTCTCCTTGTATGTACATCTCAGCCCTCAGATTTCCTGTCATGAACACTTATTTCTATACTAAGAAAGATTAAAATTATTAAAAAAGAAAACCTAAGTTGTCCTCTTGATCGGGATGCATCATGGTACCTGCTCGTGCGAGTTGGCTGGTTTTGGTTTTAGGAGAGTAGGCGGGAGATGATGAAGGCGGCGGTGGCAGCGGTGGCTCCATGGGATGAGGGCCTCTGGAGCTGGGGCGCAGGGACGGTGGTCCGGGCGGAGGTGTTGCCTGATCAGGAGGCAAAGCCCAAGTCTCCGGCTCTTGGCCTTACCTGTTAACTGCCTTTGGGGTCGACCACATTGGGGGAAGGTGTGTCTATCTGAAAAGGGTCTTTAGAAATGGAAGTTGTGTTTACTGTGTCAAGTTTGACCTGCTCTTGTTTTAAGGGTCTGATGAATGTGGCCCATGGTGTGTATAGCTCTCCCCTTGAAGCATCCGTGTGTGTGTGTGTGTGTGTGTGT